GATACCATGACACAAAGTCACAAAGTGCTAAGGTGGAGTGTATAAAAGGAAACCAGTAACTGCAGATCTCCAAACCTCCTCCTCTCCTCACCCGTGAAATAGACCCCAAGATACTTAATCTCCTCTACTTGGGGCAGCAACTTATCCCTGACCTGGAGTGGGCACCACCCTTTTCCAGCTGAGGACCTCAAGCCTCAGACTTGGAGGTGCTGATTCTTATTTCTGCCACTTTAAACTCAGCTGAACAGCCCAACATGACTCCTTCCTCTGCCTGATGGCTCCCTTCATCTCTGGTGCCCACCAGTTGTTTCGGGGGTTACCACCACTACAGGCACCAACCACCTTGCAGCCGGAGCTCAGTGCAGCAGCCTCAGCAATGGAGGTGCTTAAAATGGTCCATTCAGACTTAATGTCCGCAGTCTCCCAGCAAGTAGGTGCTCAACTTGTGCACCCTCCCCAGGTCTGTCTCCAGGGCATCAGCCTGGCGACATCTCCATGGTGTACCTTGTATCTTGCCTTGTGGTAGCTGGGATAGAAATTCAGCCCCCCTATGACCTTGATAAGGATAAGTAATTAGCAAATATTTTTATTTAAATTGTACATGTTATCACTTTAAACATTTTGATAGGTTTTCTATCTTATACTGTGAATAAAATTTGCATTTATGAGATTTGCATGTCCTGCATCGATGTTATGGATTACATGTATAATAATTAACAATATTGGCATTCTTTTCTATTAAGATGTAATAAAGTAACCATCTTTTTTCCACCTTAATGCTTTACTTGTGTTTTCCAAACTGACCAGCACAAACTGAAAAACCTCGGGCCTCACTGGGGGGCAGCGTGACCCTGAACTGCTCTGTGAACGACTCTGCAGGATGGAGATATTACTGGTTCAGACGTACCTCAGAGTCTTCTACAGCCCAGAGAATAACAAACGGAACATCATCCCACACTTTCAGTGTTGCAGAAGGAGGCATCTATCACTGCAGAGGAGGAAGAGGAGACCCAGTTTTCTTCACAGATGACAGTGTTTCAGTCACAATTGAGACAAATGGTAAGTGTTTTTATTTTGTTCAGATATAAAACAAATTAAATCCACAATTAACATCAAATTAACAGCTGACAAAACTTTCTTTGCTATTGATTCATTCATTATTCATTATTTTTGTCCCATGTCTTAAACTACTTGGTTAAGGCAGAGTCAAAAGAAGGGATGTATGTATATATATA